TAGTTTCGAACTGCTGACCTTAAGGTTCACAGCCCGATTCGTAACCACTACGCTACCAGAGCTCCTTAAAGGGACAAATAAGGGGATCTAATTCTTACTGGGAGTAATATTTGGAGCAGAAGCAAGAAAGGAGGTGGCTTCTGATTGGCAGCTACCAACAAGTCCTAGTGCAAACATTTTGAATGGGAGTGTGCAGACAGAGGGTCAAGTGAGCACTCCCATCACAGAGGCCTGATGGATAGGCAGAGATAAAGATGGGAGCATCCTTTTTTTGTTCTTTTATTTTCCTTCTTCTACCTACCTTCACTCTGGGGACCAGAGGGCATACTTGAACAAGTGGACAAAGAATCAAAGAAGGGGAACAAGTCAAGAAGACGTGCTTGACAGCAGGAGTGTTTTTCAAAGAGGGATGGGTTAGCCCAACGGACTTGGAGGAAGGTGGTGGGGGGGGGCTGGGAGAAAAAGGTAAAAAATAATGAGTTATATCATAAGGCACAACAGACAATGAGAATGTCTTGAAATTTCTCAGGGAGCTTTGAAGGCAAAAAGCCAAAAAGTGGCAGTAAAATCTAACTCATACTTTGCCACAGTTTTATTTTTGTTTTTGTTGAGATTTTGGACTTTAGTATCTAGTCTGTTTTTATCAGACCCCCTTTTGTCTTTGGGGGTGGAGGTGGGGACTCTTTCTCTTCTTGTCTTACCGAACAAGAGACAGCAGTTGCTACCATACAACCAAGCTACAATCACACCATTGGGCAAGACCCAATACCAGATGACAACACCAGAGCAGTGTAAGCAATCAACACCTGCTAAAAACACTCTGAATTGAGCAGTAAGAGAAGTGAAAAGAAAAGCCCATCTCCTGATCACATCTCCCAGGAGACAATTGGAGAGAGCTTAGGAATACACCAACATTCATTCATTTAATTATTACAAATACAACAATACCACAATGCCTAAAAAGCAATAGAAAATTTCTGCTCACAAGCAGAAACAAGACAGAGTAGAACAAACAAATGAACAAAAGGTAGAATTTGCATTGGAAGGAGTGCAGGCTTTGGAACTGCCTGAAAATAATTTAAAATGATACTGAGGTGCGTCCAAATGTTCCACAAAAAAGTTGAGGAAAACACTATAGGAACAATCAAGTAAAATAGATTAAGCATTAGAGACAATACAAATCTTGCAAAAAGAGGTCAGGACACGCAATACTAAAATATCAGAAATAGACAATACATTGAAAAGGCAAAGGAGTTGAAGAGATGGAAGCCAGAATCATCAAGCTTAAAGAGAAATCTCTCAATACTGCTAAGACAGAAAAACTACCAGAAAAAATAATGAAAAAAATCTGAAGAAAGCATAAGACTCATGTGGGACAACTTGAAGAGGAATTACCTACGGGTGATTGGAGTCCCAGAACAGGAAGAATCAAAGAAAACCACAGAGGAGATAGTTGAAGAGCTGCTGGATGGAAATTTCCTTAACATCCTGAAAGACAAGAAGTTGAAAATAACAAGGCAAGATAGGCCCCAAAAGAAAATCACCAAGACATATCATAATGAAACTCTCCAAAGTCATAGACAAGGAAAGAGTCCTAAAAGCAACTTGGGGAAATTTGTCAATCAAATATGACCGTGAACAGAATATTCCAGGATAAACAGAACTTAAGGGACTTTGTAAAATCCAAACCAGCCCTTCACAACATACTAACAGGAGTTCTTTGGACTGAGAACCAACAAGAGCAGACAACAACCAGAGATTAACGTAGATGGCAATACCACCCAAAAATCAGTCGAGAGATGAAAGAGTCCAGAGCAAAACAGAACTACAAGAATTAAATCAGAGGATCTGGGAGGTCAGTCTGTGACCAAAATAACTACAACGAGAAGAAAAAGGAAAAAATATAGGAACATAGATCCAGGTGGTAAGGAGGTCAGTTAGACTTCAGGATAAAACAGACTGCTTTAAATGAAGGAAAAAGTGAATAGAATATAGGATAACCTCAAAGAAAATTAATACTTCACAAGGAAATACCAAGGAAAGGAAAATCCAAGAAGAACATGGAATCATTAAAACTGTTGAGCAACTGACAAGATAAAGCACACACATAAAAATGACCTCAGCACAGGAAGGCATGCAGAACTAGAAAACCAGCAACACCACATAAACAAATAAGAAATAATGACAGCAATTAATTCATACCTGTAGATAATTACACTGAATATCAGTGGATTAAATACACCAGTCAAGAGACAGTAGCAGAATGGATAAGAAAACAAGGTCCTTCAATATGCTGTCTCCAAGAAACATGCCTAACACACAAAGAAAAAATAGATACAAAACTAAAGGGTGGAAAAAAATATATCAAACTAATTTTCATCAAAAACAAGCAAAAGTGGCAATACTAATCTCTGATAAAATTAACTTTTAAGGCAAGAACCAGCATAAGAGACCAAAAAGGACATTATCTCATTATTAAAGGATCAATTGAACAAGAGGACATAACCATAATAAATATCTATGCTCCAATGAAAGAACCACAAAATACATAAAGGAAGTCCTAATAGAATGGAAGAAAGAAATAAAACAAATCTAAGACCTGGTGTGGCGCTGTGGGTTAATGCACCAGACTGCAAAGCCATTTGAACTTTAAGGTCAGTGGTTCAAGCTCACCAGCTGCTCCTCAGAAACCCTGTAGAAGGTTGCTATGGGTCAGAATCGACTCAACGGTACTTAGCAACACCAAGATAATAATGGTGTGGCACTGTGGGTTAATGCATGAGACTGCAAATCCATTTGAACTGTAAGGTCGGTGGTTCAAGCTCACCAGCTGCTCCTCGGAAACCCTAAACAGGGTCGCTATGGGTCAGAACTGACTCAAAGGCACTTAACAACAGGATAATAATGGGAGATTTTAATACACCACTTTTGAAAAAGGACAGAACAACCAGGAAGGAACTCAACAAAGACACAGAGGACCTAAAATCACAATTAACCAAGTTGACCTCATAGCTGTGTACAGAGCACCATAATGTGATACTTCATTAGTAACACCTGGAGAGTGAGACACCTGAGCAAAGAACTGCCATGGGTACATGGTGAGAAAAGCTAAAGTTGCATCTGTCATCATTTTAAATTCTGAGTCAGTTGTTCAAACTTGTCTGCTTACAGAACTGGTCACTATTCTTTGGGCCTGACATATGGAATCAATTAAAAAAACATTGAGCTTGTAGGGTATTCTCTTTGGTTGGTTGATGATTCATGGAAGGGATTGTAACCATAGCAATGAAACGATATACTATAGGATGAATGTAAAACTAATGTTCTCCCATGTAAACTATCACATAATTCACAATAAAACATAATAATAATTTTAAAAGGTCAAAAAAATTTGAGACTAGATGATTCCTTGCTTTATATTACTATGTGATTCCATTTCCAACTTTCTCTCTGATTTCTATAACATAAAATAAGGATAAAAGAAATTTAGATCTCTCACTTGAAGTGAATAAAACTAAAATTATCAATATATTATAATATACTTTGTTGCATTTCAGCTATTAAAAATTCAAGGAATTTATCATCAATAAATACAAATTAATGGAACACAGATGAAATCTTTTTTTCACACTCCAAAAATAAACAAAGAATTAGTCAATGTAGACAACCCAAGGGGTACACAGTGGGTTGCCAACCACAAGGTCAGCAGTTTGAATCCACCAGTTTCTCCACAGGAAAAAGACGAGTCTTCCTGCTCCCTATAAAGATTGACAGTGTACGAAACCATATATAAGGTCACTATGAGTCTGAACTGACTCAACGGCACACAACCACTACCACCACAAATAAATTATGAAGTTTGCATATAGACTCACTGTGCTATTTAGAATGCAAAATCTCTAGGAAAGTCAACTTGATCTCTTTTTCTGTATTGCTAAATTACATATTTATTTCAGTAAGTGTTAAAATAATTGATGAACATTGTAGAAAACGAAAAGTCATATTGGCCTCAGAATCTGTCTAACTTCAGGAGAGATAATGCAAATCATGAAAAGCACAAGACTAGTCCTATGAGGTGGTAAACATATCTCTACTCTGCAACCTTTTTACTAAGTCTTAAACCAGCCATCCATCCCTTAGCACTCTACTTTTCTGATGGGTTCAATAATATTCCTTTGCAGTGACCAGTCAGAACTCACAGACAATACTTAAAACTAAGTGATTTATTAAGAAAGCAACAGAGGACAACTCAGGATCAGTATCATCAGACTAGAACTTCGATTCAGAATCAGAAAACATGTAGACAAAGTCTCCCTTCTTTAGCGTCTCTAAACCCTAAAGACCTCAGCTCTCTTTGGGCAGGTTCCTCTTGACCCCTCAGGCCAGGCTTCTTTTGGCCCTATGTCTTTCACCACCAGCACTGTCAATCGGCCCTTTCCAGGTCTGTCCCCATCATCAGTGCCATAGTCCTTGATCTGGGTAACAGCTCTTTTAGTCTCAAAATACTCTGTGGGACTGACTACTTAAATATACAAACTTGTTGTCAATTTCAAGGCCTGGCATTCCTACCCAGGCCACAAATGGACCAATGTCCTCTTGGTAGGCCACAAAAACTTCATTTGCATAGAGACTATAATTTACCTCATTTGCATAGTCTATTGATCTTTCCCTGCAAGGTGCATGCGAATCACAGGGCAGACTGCACTAAGGACTACACAAAAAGTATCAAACCAAATTGTTTTCACCTTGCACAAGAAATGTCAAATTAACCTGGACAAAAGTGACAAACCTAAGTTAGAAAACTAGGGCAAAGGTAACATCTCCAAGTTTAGGGGGGAAATCTCTCTAAATTGTTTTTCAAAGAGCCAAGGCAAAAGAACCAAAGCAAAAGGCTACATAAAGGAACTAATTTCTTCACAATTACAGTCATTCTTGATGATATTTTGGTGAATAAAAGTCTACTTGATTCTTTGTTAATACATTCTTATTGGTTTTTATAGCAAGAGAAATTGGGTGATATCTGCTTCTCCCTTCGCTATGTTCCGACTGCTGGTAAACTGACCGTTGTCATTCTGGAGGCGAAGAACCTGAAGAAAATGGATGTGGGTGGCTTATCTGGTAAGTCTGTGATGTTTATCGATATTTTTAAAATTCTGTTCATCATGGATACTGAATGCATAGCACCTGCTCTGACTCATTGATCACAATTCTTTTTCTTACGGAGCCTGGAAGCTGTCTCAAAACTCATCCCAATAAAGCACCCCAGGAAGTTACTCTCAAACTACTGGAATTGGCACATAAGATAAAATTCATTTTCATATTTCGTAAGGAAAGTATCAACTCTACATTTTGGAGCATTGATAACTGACAATTTTGTTTCTCTTCTAAAATACACTCCCTATGACTCTATGAGACAGAACCATTTGAACAATACTTAACAACAACAAATACAAGCTTACTTTTGCTGAGTTTGGGTTTAAAGGGTTTGTTGCCATTATTGTTTTGGGTCAAAATTCATCCATGATGCAAAAAACAGTGTTTTATCTGAGACCTATTACATATTTGAAAACTTACAGCTTTTTGTATAATAACATTTTATTAAAGATTTAGCATTTTAAATATATGTAAATATTTAAAGTTCTGAGTGTGAGTCCTCATGGTAATGCATTTATTTTCTACAATTTATATGGGGTCACAGAGACGTCTGCATAGAAACTTCTATGTAACTCACTCTTAGTAAAACATGAGCAGAGTACAGGCATATCTGGGAGATATTGTTGGCCCAGTTCCAAACTACTGCAATGAAGTGAATATTGCAATATATCAAGTCACGTGAATTTTTTGGTTTTACCAGTGCATGAAAAGTTATACTCTCAGTAACTAATAGTTTATTTAGTGTGTGACAGCATTATGAAAAAGGCTGACATATGGTGAGAATTACCTAAGTGTGACACAGATATAAAGTGAGCACATGCTGTTAGAAAAACAGTGCCAACAGACTTGCTCAATGCAGGGTTGCCACAAATCTTCCATTTGTAAAATACATAATCTACAACACACCATACAGTCAAGTGCATTAAGGTATGCCTCAATATTCCTGTTCTAAAGCACAGTGAACTCAAAGACATGTCACTTTCATAGTTGAATTTAATTTTTTTTCTTTCTCTATGTGATTAAATCAATTGTATTTATTTTTTAGTACATTATTCAAATATGAGGAATTTTCTTGATGTGCCCCAAGGCTAAAGCTGTCATTGTTTACAGCTGTAGAATTCAAATCCACATTACTGGTTACTCAATGCTGTCTCTAATAAAAGTACTGTCAACTTCACAAGGTTACCTAATGTAGCATGGTGATTTTATATTCTAAAGCATAACAGCTAGAAAACTGTAAAGGCTGAGTTTCCATTTACTAGATCACTGATCTGTCATCCTGTTAGTGCCTACGTTTTTTCTCTTTATTCATAAGCCACCTAAGAAAGCTTCATTAACTCTTTCATGTCATTAAGACCCTATTTAATACCTTATTGCTTTCATTGTCAAATAGCTTTACAAAACAAATTTAAAGAAATGAGCAATTTCTTCTAAAAATATAAACAGTATTTAATGTGTTTATATGTGATTAAAATTCCAGACGCATACTAAACGGCAATCTTTTTACTCTCAGATTATAATTTAGTATACTAAAGCAACAACCATGTATCTGCCAGTTTGTTTTATTATTGTGTCTTGTATGTTGTTGTGATGTTGGAAGGTATGCCACCAATATTTTAAATAGTAGTAGGGGAGTCCTGATGTGGCACTGTAAACAAATTACACAAAGTTGGTGGTTCAAACCCACCAACCACTCTTTGGAAACCCTATACAGAATTGCTAGGAGTTGGAATTGATTTGACACTTAAAAACAACAGTAGGGTCACCCCTGGTGGACAGGTTTCAGAGCAGCATCCAGACAAAGACAGACTAGGAATGAGAAGCAGACTACGTCTTAATGTTTAGTCACTGAAAATATAATGAATAGCAGTGGACCATTGTCAGGTATAGGTCCAGAAGATGGATCCATTATGAATAGCACCAGAAAACTGACAGATGTAGTGCCGATAGATGAGCCCAGCAAGTTGAATGTCACTCAAAATACTACTGAGGAAGAGCTGCCTCCCCAGAGCTGATTGTAATTAATACAAATGGAGTAAAAATTTTAGCATATTAATTTGCTTATAGGGCAAAACATCCATTAATAATTGGAATATGGAATGTGCAAGGTATGTGTCTAGGAAAATCGTAAGTTGTAAAAATGAACTGGGGTACGTAAAGATCAATATTCTGAGCATTAGTGAGTAGGACTGGAATGATATTAACTATTTTGAATTTGGCAACCATACACTTTACTATACTGGGAATGACAAATTCAAGAGGATGGGTGTGTGGAGTGACATTCATCATCAAAAAGAACATTTCAAGATCTATCTTGAAGTACAATGTGTATGTGATAGAACAATATCCAAATGCCCCTTCAGAAGACCACTACTATTCAAAGTTACACATCAACTACTAAAGTGATAATGAAATAGAAGAATTTTACCAACTTAATCAGTCTGATTTACTAACTTAAATCAGTTGGAAGACGTGTAGCCGGAGTGCTCCTTGGAGGCCAGGATAGCCAAACTTCGTATTTCATACAAAATTAGGACATACTGTAAGGAGGGACCAGTCGCTGGAGAAGAATATCATGTTCGGTAAGGTGGAGGGTGAGGGAAAAAGAGGAAGACCCCCAGCGAGATGGATTGGCAAAGTGGCAGCATCAATGGGCTCCAGCGTGGCAACAATTGTGAGGTTGGCCCAGGACCAGGCAGTGTTTCGTTCTGTTGTGCATAGGGTCGCTATGAGTCGGTACCGACTCAATGGCACCTAACAACAACAACAATCAGTCTGAAATTGATTCAATATGGTCAATATGTATACATAATTACTGGTGAGTGGAATGTGAAGGTTGGAAACAAAAATGAAGGGTCCATAGTTGGAAAATATGGTGTTGGTCATAGAAATGATGCTAGACATTGCCTGATAGAATTTCACAAGACCAAGAATTCCTGCTATAGCATTGTAAGATCAGCACTGGACTGCGAACCAAAAGGTCGGTAGTTCCAAACCCAGCAGCTGCTGCTCGGAAACCCTATATAGATTCACTGGGAGTCAGAACCAACTGAAAGGCACTTAATGATGTCTTCATTGCAAATAACTTACACATGGACCTCAAATTCATCAAAGAGATGGTAGAAAACTACAATGTGATCAGCCAAAACAAGGCCAGGGGTTGACTGTGGAACAGACCACCAATTGCTCATACACAAGTTCAGGCTGAAGCTGAAGAAAATGAAAACAGTTCCACAAGAGCCAAAATATGACTTTGAATGTATCCCACCTGAATTTAGAGACTATCTCAAGAACAAATTTGATGCATTAGACTGAAGACTAGAGTAGTTATGGATTGACATCAAGAAAACCATACAAGCAGAAAATAAAGGTCATTTAAGACAGGAAAGAAATAAAAGGTCAAAATGGATATCAGGAAAGACTGAAACTTGCTGTCTGGCATAGAGATGCTAAAGTGAATGGAAGAAATAAAGTAAAAGAGCTAGACAGAAACTTTCAAAGGGCCGCTTGAGAAGACAAAGGCAAGTATTATAATTTAATGTGCAAAGACCTCGAGTTAGACAACCAAAACGGAAGAACACTCCAGCATTTCTCAAACTGAAAGAACTGAAGAAAAAAATTCAAGTCTTGACTTGAAATACTGAAGGATCCCATGGGCAAATATTGAATGATGCAGAAAGCATACAAAGAAGGTAGACGATATACACAGTGTTTGTACCAAAAGTAACTGGTCATTTAACCATTTCAAGAAGAAGCATATGATTAAGAACTGATGATACTGAAGAAGTCCAAGCAGTATTGAAGGCACTGGTGTAAAACAAAGCTCTGGCGATTGATGAAATAGAAACTGAAATTGTTCACAAACTGATGAAACACTGGAGGCACTCATTCATCTGTGCCAAGAAATTTGGAAGATAGCTATGTGGCCAACTGATTGGAAGAGAGCCATATTTATGCACATTCCAAAGAGAGGTGACCAAACAGAATGCAAATATCATTGAACAATGTCAATAACACCATATGCAGTTAAAATATTGCTGATGATAATTCAAAAATGGCTGCAACAGTACATCAACAAGGCATTACCAGAAGCTCAAACTGGATTCAGAAGATGATGTGCTATGTGGGATTATCATTGCTGATGTCAGGTGGATATTCACAGAAAGCAGAGACTAACAGAAAGCTTTTCACCTGTGCTTTATGGACTGGGCAAAGGCATTTGATTTTATGGATCATGACAACAAGCTATGGACAATATTATGAAGAATGAGTGTTCCAGAATACTTACTTGCACTTATGAGGAATCCTTACATAGAACAAACAGGCAGTCATTCAAATAGAACATGGGGATAATGAATGGCTTGAATTCAGTAAAGGTATACACTAGGGTTGTAATCTTTCACCATACTTAGTCTGTATACTGAGCAAATAATCAGAGTAGCTGATTAAATAAAGAAGAATGTGGCATCAGGATTGAAGGAAGACTCATCAGCAACCTGTGATAGGCAGATGATAACCTTGCTTGCTGCAAGCGAAGAGGACTTGGAATGCTTCCTGATGAAGTTCAAAGACCACAGCCTTCGGTATGGGTTGCACCTCAATGTAGAGAAAGCAAAAATCCTCACCACTGGACCAATAAATAACATCATGATAAATAGAGAAAAGACTGAAGTTGCCAAGGACTTCATTTTGCTTGTATCCACAATCAACACACATGAAATCAGCAGTCAAGGGATCAAATGACCTATTGCACTAGGCAAATTTGCTCACAAGACCTTTTATAATGTTCAAGAGCAAAGAGAACAATCAGTTTGAGGACTAAGGTGCACTTGACCCAAACTATGGTATTTTCTATAGCCTCATATGCATATGAAAGTTGCACAATAAATAAGGAAGCCCATAGAAGAATTAATGCATGTCAGTTATGGTGTTGGAGAAGATATTGAGAGTACCATGGATTGCCA